ACGGCAAGCAGCCGCGCTCTAGTGAAGGACTCACCTTACCATCGTCCATATGTGAAAACACACACAAACACACATCGGACTGGTGACCAAGGTGAAGAGGAGGAGTCAGGCTGCCTGTAGATTTTCCACACACTACCGAGGCTTCTGACATTGGAAAAAAAAAAGACTAAAACTATTAAATACGTGGTGGTTTTTCCAGATATCAGTAAGAAAGTTTAATCACCTGATCGTTGAAGAGACTCAGGACAAAAGTAAATGCCAAAAGGACATTTTAGGCACCTATGTATGGTCCTCACAAGCTCCAACCATTGATTGTTAAAACACTAGACATGCCCCACCCATAGTTTCCTGTGGGGCCTTTTTGAAGCCAAATGGGCAGTTCTGATCACTGCCATCTTGGCTGTGTAACACAATGTGTCTAGCCCAGACAATTCAAAAATGGGAAAAGAGGTGGAGCTGAAAGTAGGGCTGTAAAGGTGGGAGCAAATCATTGACACCCATGACCTCTGTACTAATGTAGCTACAAGCTAACCCAAAGCTACATGGAGCTTAGAGCCAACGGGCGTAGCTACTAACTACTTCAGCATACATAAAGCTAACTGATGTTATTGGGTGCCTTTAGCCAGAAAAACGTGGTTGAGAGACTCAGAAGTGACGCATGCATCCCTTCAAAGAGCTGCAGTGTCTCTGTGGTTTCCCTCAAAGACGTATACAGGCAACCAGGATGACTAGTCTTGCATGGGAGCTGGGTAAAGCAGATGGCAGGGGAAGATGCGGCGTAGACCTGGCAGACCCAAACGCATAGTGTGGTCTGCTGGGAATGCTTGGCAGAAGAACCGGTCAAGACGGTCTTCAACTCCCACCTCTGGCAGAGCTTGGACCGCATCCCAAGAGCAGTGGGGGACATCAACTCCGAGTGGGCCTTGTTCCACTCTGCGATTGTTGAGGGGGCTGTTGCTAGCTGTGGTCACAAGGTTGTTGGTGCCAGTCGTGGTGGCAACCCCCATACCCGCTGGTGGACACCAGAGCTTCGTGGAGCCGTCAGGCTGAAGAAGGAGGCCTACAGGGCGTGGCTGGTATGTGGGTCTCTGGAGGCAGCAGACGGGTACCGGATAGCCAAGCGAGGTGCAGCAGTGGCAGTTGCCGAGGCAAAATCTTGGGCGTGGGAGGAGTTTGGTGAGACCATGGAGAAAGACTATCGATCGACGCCAAAGAGGTTCTGGCAAACTGTCCGGCGCCTCAGGAGAGGGAGGCAGAAGCTCGCTCACACTGTTTACAGTGGGAATGGGGAGCTGCTGACGTCAACTGGAGCTATAGTCGGGCGGTGGAAGGAATAGTTTGAGGAGCTCCTCAATCCCACCTACGCGCATTCTGAGGAGGAGCCAGAGCCAGGAGACCTGGGGATGGACTTTCCAATCTCGGGGGCAGAAGTTGCTGAGGTGGTCAAACAACTACACAGGCAGATTGGTTCAGCATCTGCAGTGATTCGGACGCTGAGCCGATCTGTCGTGGTGAAGAGGGAGCTGAGCCAGAAAGCCAGGCTCTCGATTTGCTGGTCGATCTACGTCCCAATCCTCACCTATGGTCATGAGCTTTGGGTAATGACCAAAAGAACGAGATCGTGAATACAAGCGGCCAAAATGAGTTTCCTCCGTTGGGTGGCTGGGCTCAGCCTTAGAGATAGGGTGAGGAGCTCGGACATTTGGGAGGGACTCGGAGTAGAACCGCTGCTCCTCCAGATCGAAAGGAGTCAGTTGAGGTGGTTTGGGCATCTGGTCAGGATACCTCCTGGACACATCCCTGGGGAGGTGTTTCGGGCATGTCCTGCCAGCAGGAGGGCCCTGGTCGACACCAGGACACGTTGGAGAGGTTACATCTCCAATCTGGTCCGGGAACGTCTTGGGGTCCTGACGGAGGAACTGGTGGAGGTGGCTGGGGAGAGGACGGTCTGGAGCTTCCTAGTTGGGCTGCTGCCCCCGCGACCCGGACCCGGATAAGCGAAGGAAGACGACGACGACAACTCTTTCCAACACCCAGACCATTTGGAGTACCGAAACAAATTATAACTCAAAAAGTCAGAATTTTTGTCAGCTTTTCAGATTGGGTTTCATTTTGTCCTTGTTACGGTTATTTCTCTACAAGCCTCAGAAGGAGGAGAGACCCAGATTTTCTCCCATCTGTAACGGCATGAAGGTTCTCTGATTTTTGCCAAAGGTCACATTTGCCCAGCTGGGTCAAGCTGGGTCAGACAGTACTTTTAATCCACAGATTAAACCCAAGAAGTCACGATGTCTGTTCAAGATCATAACATCATCTGCTGATCCATCCCAGGAGAAGGACACTTCAAGCCATGATGATAATAATTAGATACTAATTAATAAACTTATGATTTTATTACTGTTTAACATAAATCATTACAACATGATCACTTGGTTCAGATATAAAGGTATTTTAATTACATGAAATTGATTATTATGCTTTGGGTATAATAATGATTAATTATAATGTTTATAAAGATGTGTTCAGCAAAGAAGACCTTCACCCTATTCAGCCAACACAGACAATTCAAGACTATTTCTAATTCTAGACAATTCAAAGTAGGCACACAAACATTCAAACGGATAACCACCAAAGCCTTCTGCCACTCACGCTTTTTGAATTTTTTCAATAGGTGCAGTGGTTGTTGAATGGCGACACATTCCGTCATACCTAAAAACTGAAAACTGAGGGAGCATACGAATGTAACCACGTGCAGTTCACTCGTTAACTGTTAATGTAAGCAATTAAGAGATCAAAGGATCAAAGTCTGATTGCTTGTCTGCTTATCTTTCTGTGTGTGTGTGTGTGTGTGTGTGTGTGTGTGTGTGTGTGTGTGTGTGTGTGTGTGTGTGTGTGTGTGTGTGTGTGTGTGTGTGTGTGTGTGTGTGTGTGTGTGTGTGTGCGTGCGCGCTTATGTATGTGTGTATGGATGTATGTGTGTGTGTGTGTGTGTGTGTGTGTGTGTGTGTGTGTGTGTGTGTGTGTGTGTGTGTGTGTGTGTGTGTGTGTGTGTGCGAGCACACATGTGTATGTGTCGGTGTGTTTCTCGCTTTCTGTCTTTTAGCTGCATTGTTTGATCTGCAGCTTTTCCGATTTATTTCAATGCAGCTTCAACAACATTAAGGAAAAAGGCTGGAAAACAGTGGTGCTCTCTGATTGGCTGAGAGTGTTCTGTCCTATCAGGAATGAGCACCCACACATATGATACATCAAATGGACAGGCTTGGTCTCCGGAATCTTGTACTAACTTTTAAATGCACTATCCGTAACCATGATAACAGACTTAGCGACAACATTTTGTAAATTTCTAGACACTACTGTATCAAGATACTTTAACATACAAATGTTATCAAAAGAAGGCAAGAAATCACCCAACCCTGTCCCAGCTCTTTAATTGGCTGAGAGAGTTCAATCATCTTCTGGCTAAATGGGAGGGCACACCCACACATATGATACATCAAATTGATTGGCTTGATCTAATGAATCCATTCATCCATCTATCCATCCATTCAATAAACCATCTAACATCCATCCATCCAACAATCCTTTCATCCATCATTTTATCCATCCAACCATTCAATCATCCATAACACAATATGAACATATGTTAATCTATCAGTTTCAGATGCCAGCAAATGTTGCTAAATTCACGGTTCAGCTCATTGTGAAAATTCAACTTTTTTTTTTAATTATCTTTATTTCATTCAATAAAAAATAACACAACAGACACTAAACAATATTCATGAAAACACAATATATATTTGAATGAAAGGGAGCAGATAGAAGAAAAATCTTATTATTTCTACCCCCTTTTTAAACTTAAATATCAATTTATATTTGTGCAGTCCCTCACCAGTTCTTTCAGTCCCGTAACTGTTCACATTTGTTAATTATTATGTCCACATCAATTGTCCGTTGTCATATCCACTCAACACACGTGATTTAATGTGTAGACTGAATTTAAACAATTCTTACTCAAATGCTAGGTGTTCAAACATTTCAACTGTCTAGTTTTTTAAACAATGTTCAAAGTTTTCAGTTTTCCACTGTTAAGCAATTTTCTCTCCATGCTTCACCTACATTTTGAGATTTATTACACTTATTGGTGATTTTTGCTTCTAATCTTTAAATACATTCAGCTCATTTTGACAATTTAGCTTAGTTTCAGCTTCACTTCAGCTATTCAGCAGATTCAGTTTACAGTTTAGGCTATCCAGCATTCAAAAAGCATTTCTGCAAGAAATGCAATTTATATAGTTAACCTTAATTTTGTGTTATGGAGTTAAACACATGTTCAACAAAACCAGCCTTGTGCAAATTCTGCAAATTTTTCTTTTGTTCATTGAGCTACTGGCTAAATGTGTACTTTTTAAAGGGGATGTACTCATGTATGCTGAGCACTGTATATATGGAGCCACAGCCAAATACCTACAACAAGTAAAGCAAGTCATAAGAAGTCAGCATGCAGTTCTAGGAACAGCTAAGATACTGCGCAGATGAGATCACCAGTGGGGGGTGAGATGGAGGTTTTCTTTTAACTAAGAGTGAATGCTGATGACCTAGTTGTGCATTGCATTAAGCTAGCCCATGAACTATACTCAAACTTCTGGCTTGTCTTAGAAACTCAGATCTTCCTCCTGAGTTTCACACATCCACTTATTCATAGATCAGATACATTCAAGACTGTGTTCTACATGTGTGGTAGGTCTGTGGGTCAGGCATGTATACATCCTGTCTTGCTTCTCTGTATTAAAGCAAAATCAGGCACCCATTGTATACTAGCTGCAAACAAAATCAACAACAGCACATTTGAAGCACAAGCAGAGCGCAATATGATTATAATAATTTTAGCATAACATTTTAGGGAGATTCATGAAAAAACACCAATCACCAAGCTGACCACACAGGTTTTCTCAGGCATCTAAACAACTACCGTGGAAAACTAAAATGCTGTGTCTTACTTTCAGCGTTGATTGACATTGTGTCTTTGTCCCAGGATACAACAGTGATGTAGCCCTCCACTGAGGCAGGAATAATGCACTTGAAGACCGCCACATTGCCTCTCATGGCTTTCTGGTCCTCCACCCGAACAGTGTACGGCTCTCGTAGGACTAAGAGATGAAGACCAAGAGGTGAGAAGAGTTTAAGTAGAACTGCTCGAGTCAGAACCTCAATGAGCTGCAAATATCTGTGACTAGCTGAAGAAAATGGCAAAAGAATATTTGTTGGACTCACTAAACTAGTGAGTATGACACCTTCACCACATGTTTTCATGTACAGTTGGTTCACATAGGACACATAAAAGTAATTGTGAGAACTGGTTTAAAGTTTACACACTAAGTGTGTTAATCGTCTCATTTAATGAACAACACTTTAATTTATGGACACTGAATTGAGAAACAACTGAGACATTTTTGGAACTGGTTCTTGCCAAATGCACTGGCTGTTCGGGGTGGAGTTGATTTGCCAGTTTTTAAACATGTTCCTAATTTCTATATTTCATAACAAGAATGCAAGACTCTTTGACGCAAGAAAGGAAACTGGGAACCTTTGTGAATAATTCCAGACTTTTTGAAGACTCCCTCTTGAATGTTGTTCATAAATTGTTGCCAACATTTTCAGCCCAGAGGCATTACAACTGCACATGAAGAAGACACCAAAGGACAAAATATGAACTGACCAGCCTTGATGTGGACATCTTGGCTCCTGATTCTCCCTGAGGGGTTCTCTGCTGTGCAATAATAAGTGTTGTCGTGGATGAGTTTGCTGAAGCTGGAAGGGGCGATGTGGAAGATCTGAAGGGTGCCATTGGGGTGCACATGGCGGATCCCTGGCACATCATAGATCTCCTCGCCGGTGGCCAGGTACCAGCGCAGTGAGACAGGGGGCACGCCCGCAGCAGGACAGGGCACTGATGTCCCTGTGGTGCTGGCAAACACTACCTCTTGCACAGATGCATTGACAAAATATAAGCTGGAACGTAGATCTTCACAGAAAACTGCAGAGAGACAAATAAGATAACAAAACTGCATTAGACCAGACATTTTACTTCACTTTTACAAATGACTACTAACACACCTGGGGGTGTGGATGGACAACAAGTAGGACTGGACACATAAAAATAGGTGTACAAAAAGGGACAAGGCAGACTGTACTTCTTCAAGGGGCTGCGATCATTTAACATCTGCAGGAAGCTCCTGTGGATGTTCTATCAGACTGTGGTTGACAGTGTCCTGTGTTATGTTATGGTGTGCTGGGGGAGTAGCGCAGCTAAAAAGGACTCATCCAGACTAGACAAGCTGATCAGGAGGGCCGGTTCTGTCGTTGGCCAGCTGGACTGGTGACAGTGGCAAAGAAGAGGTCACTGGAGAAACTGCTGGACATTCAGCACAGTATGTGAGCATTTAAACACTAATGATCTGTTTAAGGAAATTCAGTCCAGTTTTAGAGAGTATCACAGCACTGAAACTGAATTAGTGAAAGTTACAAATGATATTTTCATGGCCTCAGATAAGAATCTTGTGTCTGTTCTAGTCTTGTTAAATCTCAGTGCTGCCTTTGACACAGTTGATCACAATGTTCTTTTAGAAAGGCTTGAACATGTTGTAGGGATCAAAGGAACATCACTAGGCTGGTTTAAATCCTACCTGTCTGATAGATTTCATTTTGTAAATGTACATGACAAATCTTCTTCATACTCCAAGGTTACTTGTGGAGTACTACAGGGTTCAGTGCTTGGACCAATTCTTTTTTTTTTTTACTAAATATGCTTCCAATTGGTAAAATTATTAGATAGCATGGGATAAACTTCCACTGTTATGCTGACGACACTCAGTTATATTTATCCTGATAGGTTAGGTAGATTACAGGCTTGTCGTGAAGACATAAAAAATTGGATGACTCAAAAGTTTTTGCTTTTAAATCAAGACAAGACTAAAATTCTCATCTTTGGACCCGAAATTCAGAAAAGGAAATTGCTTAGTCAATCGCCTGACCTGAACGGCATTAAATTAATCTCAGAGAACAAAGTAAGGAACCTTGGTGTTATCTTCAACCAGGACATGTCATTCAAATCCCACGTTAAACAGCTTTGTAGGATTTCCTTTTCCACCTTCGGAATATTGCAAAGATTAGACGCGTCCTTTCCAGGAGTGATGCTGAAAAACTAGTTCATGCAGTTATTACATCAAGACTGGATTGCTGTAAGTCATTACCCTTAGGAAGTCCACAGAATGTAGTTAAAAGTCTTCAGCTTGTCCAAAATGCTGCAGCTAGAGTTCTGATGAGAATTAGAAAGAGAGATCATATCTCTTCTGTCTTAGCTTCCCTACATTGGCTGCCTGTTGAATTCAGAATAGATTTTAAGATTGTCCTTTTCACATACAAAGCTCTTAATAATCAAGCTCCCTCATACATCAGTGACCTGATTGTTCCATATGTTCCTAACCGAGCACTTCGCTCTCAGACTGCAGGTTGATTGGTGGTTCCCAGAATATCTCAAAATAAGAGGCAGATCTTTTAGCTATCAGGCTCCTCTCTTGTGGAACCAGCTCCCAGCTTTGATCTGTGAGGCAGACACCTTGTCTACTTTTAAGACTAGGCTTAAAACATTTTTATTTGATAGGGTCTATGGTTAAAATCTGATGTTAGCCCAGATCTGGACAAGAGGGAGAGTAGAGGGAGGTGGAGTGTACAGTCAGTAAAGACGGCTCTCCCTTGCCCTGCCTCCAACATGCCTCCATCTAAGAGGCTAGGTTATCCAGAGTAATCTCTGTAGTTATCCTGCTATAGGCTTAGACTGCTGGAGGACATACTGACCATTTTCCACACTCGACTACTCTCTTCTACGATCTGCTCTTTAACTGCATTATTTCCTGCAATTTCAGTTGTTAACTTTATTTTTCTCTAAGTGTTTTTCTCCCCAGAAGAAGCTACAATGGTGGTCTGCTGAGCTGTGGTGGCCTCATGGATGGGGCCATCGGCTGGCACATTGCTGGAATCGCTTACAGTTTTTTTTATAGACGTTAGGACCCATTTCTCAATATTAATGTCACTTTTGCCAGACACCTCACACAGTTCTCCTAAGTGAGTTTCAGCTTGGCAAAACAGTTCATTTCACATTCAAAATGCACTACAACCACCAAAACACTTCATTCAGGTCTCAAAAAAACTCATTCCTCCAGAACACTAGCAAAAGTTGACAGCCGACAAACACACTTTTTCACCCACAAAACAAAGACCTAAAAAACACTAACAACATGTAGCATTGCATTTTCTTGTGTAAAACAAGGACACATCTCTGTTCATACTTCCAATAGATGTTACTGGAATGAATCAGACATGATGCAGATTTTGTCAATATTTCATGTTGTTCATTTATTTATAATGGTATTTGTTTTTGCACTAAGTACTTCCAAAACACAAGACTTTGTAAACACAACATCCACTGTTACAGATTCAATATGCTAATCTACTCGGTCTTCTCCATTTGGCCACAGGTTCTCATCCACATCACATCTCATGTCATCTAGGGCAATACACCTAGGAAAGAATATTCTGGCATGCCTGATCCATCCCTGGCAATCTACTGCTGATATGCTTGGCGTTTCCTGAACATGTTTGATTTTGGCCCTCTTTTATGTTGAATTTATTTCAGAGTTTTCATTGGTTCACTCTATCCATTGTTTTACACATTTGTCCTGTACCAGAATGTTTCACCTTTTTTTGTAATTTGTATTTTGTAATTTGAATTGCTTTTATTTTTGATTTATTCAATATATTTACCTTCTACTGTACCATGTTCAGCGCCTTGGGCTTCCTGACAGGGTTGCGGAAGGCGCTTTATAAATAAAGCTTTGATTGATTGATTCATTGATTGATTGATTGATGTCCAGACATCCAGCATACATTGCATCCAGAAGGGACATTTGATCATGTGGATGATGGTCGTACACCTTCCACCGCCATGAGGCAAAGAATTCCTCTATGGGGTTGAGGAATGGAGAGTAAGGTGGGAGGAAAAGTGACTCCATTCTGGGATGGGCCACAAACCACTCTGTGACTGCATGGGAGTGGTGAAATGCCACATTGTCCCATACAATTATATATGTTGGCATTGAGTACTTTTATAATGACATTGAAAGTGTAACACCTGTGCAGCCGTTCATCTACAATTAGAGTCAGCTGTGGCTGGTTAAACTGCATTTATGTTTCAATAACATATTGCTGTTGGATTTTGCTGTCATATTCAGTTTTGCAGTATGTTACTGTTTTGAACATAAGTTTTACAGTTTTGTGAACAGTATGTAAGCAAGTGCAAAGTGTCCTGTTAGTACAATGAGTTTTGGCAGTTGTTGCGTCTGAGTGAGAAGGGACTTCATGACATTTGAGAGATGTAGTCACTCAATGCATTTTGTGCCAAAGCAATGATAATTGATCCTCAATTTGGCCCACATAGACTTCTGTTGTGCACACTGTATGTAGAGTTTTGCAAATGTGACCTAGGTATTGAGAAGTGGGTCCTAACGTCTGTAAAAAACTGTAAACATTCTCCCTCTCCTGATAACATTTCACTCTCTTTGACATTGAATGTGCTACTACTAGTTTACTCTTTAATTATAGCTTCACTAAGATAAATACAATAATGTTTATCTCTCACCAAATAGAATATTTACTAAGAAATCACAATGTAACCATAGAAACATTACTTGAGCCCTTTTCAGACTGACATTCTGGAACATTTGCGGACAATTGAATCCAGTTTTTAACCGGAACTGTGTTTTCAGACACACCACTTTTGTACCGGAACTTGTCCTTTCGGCTGCGTTCACACAGCAGGGAAAAGTTCCAGATGTCTGACGGCGGGGGGGGGGGGGGGGGGGGGGGGGTCGGACTTATGTTAAGAAGAAGAAGAAAATATAATTTCTATAGCGCCTCTCAAGATAAAAATCACGAGGCGCTTAAGCATAATTCTGCGCACACGAAGACGCATAAGAGACCTGGATGATGAAGCTCAATGGTTAAAGGAATCACTGAAGCGGTGTGATGCGCTCCGTCGTGCGTCTAGGCGATACCGTAGGAGGCGAGCTGCCATGGTTCGCTGCATGCTACATCGGCGGGCTATCCAGGTGCGCACAGTGTCCCCCGGTCCCCTCCCCCCTTGTCCGGAACTATACCTCACCAGTCTGAAGCAGCCACCCTGTCCGTAACAAGTCCGGACCTGTTACTAGGGGCTTCATCCGGATAAATTCCGGAAAACGTTATCCGGATGTTTGTATTCAGACACAAAGGTCTTACGGACAGAGTCCGGAACATTTCCGTTTTTCATGGCCTGTCTGAAGGGGGCTTTGGTTTGTGTGTGTGTGTGTGTGTGTGTGTGTGTGTGTGTGTGTGTGTGTGTGTGTGTGTGTGTGTGTGTGTGTGTGTGTGTGTGTGCGTGCGTGCGTGCGTGCGTGTGTGTGTGTGTGTGTGTGTGTGTGTGTGTGTGTGTGTGTGTGTGTGTGTGCTCTGTCTTCTCTATCCCCAATGAGTCATGGTGGATTGCTGCTTATACTGAGCCAGGATCCTCTGGAGGTTTCTTCCTGTTAAAAGGGAGTTTTCCTCTCCACTGTTGCTAAATGCTTGCTTAGTATGAGGATTGCTATAAAGACTCTGAAACCAGTCAGTGACTTGATGCAATTTGCTGGGTTCCTCATATAGGAAACATTTTTCTGATTGGCTTAATGAACTGGCCTGTACTGGAATGTTTACTATGTGAAGGTCCCTGAGACAAGATGACTCTGGTCCTGATTTGGTGCTATAAAAATAAACTTGAATTGAATTGAACTGGATTGAATTTAGGGGTACTTCTGAGTTAAAAATGCTCATGAAACACGTGTGTGGAGTAAACAGGTAGGTAGGTTTTAACGTTGCAAATCTGCAATGCCTGCCTCAGGTGATTTTCTTTGTTGATGCCTGAACGGAAAAGCCCAAAGCAAAAGTAGAGTGTTTGAAGGCAGC